CACATTGGTATGTGTACACATGTGAATAAACCAGTCAACTTTTAAGAAATTATGACAACTGTCAATATTAAAATTGATCTACACTTAGAACATGTGATATTTCAACCGCGTAACGCATTTAAATTCGTAACCGTAAAGAATTGCGTATATTATATCTATTACTTTGTAATTTAATGAGGTGTTAGTGAACAGTTAGTGAACAAAGTTGTTTATATCAAATCCAAAAATTAAAAATTATTATATATAATATAATACAATATAAAATATATAATACAATTCAACATTAAATATAGTACAAAACTTAACTCGCTTTGCAACAAATGTCCATCGCGGTAGCTCTAAAAGCTCTAATTCGGTACATGAAAGGTTAAGCACGCGCGTTATTACGCGCATTCCGTTCTCTAATCAGGAAGCGACAGAACTTCCGTTGAGATCAATCCAGCCTTTCCGCACGAGCGGTTGCTCCTGAAGGCTCGGTTTGTGAATGACGCGGCACGATCTTGCATGTTCTTGTACATAGTCTTACTTTCCCCTCCATAACGGAGTGCTAGAAACGGCGGAGGAAACTATCTCGGACCGCTCTGGAACTTTCCAGAGGTACAACAACTATTCGAAACGTAGTCGAGACGGATTCATACGCATCGAAGTTGGTCAGGTTCGTCGCGCGTGCCACGCAAGTTGCTCCATCCTCTCGAGAAACGCGCGCGAGAAGGATATGAGAGAAAGAGAACGAAATAGAGAGAGAGAGAGAGAGAGAGAGAGAGAGAGAGAGAGAGAGAGAGAAGGGGCGGGAGAGAGAGAGCTCACTGGTTGAGTTCCGGACCGATGCCGGATTACATCAAACTGGCATAACACACATCCGCCCCAGCTAGCTGACTGGCGAACTTGCCGCTCTTGAGACTTCACCCGGAAATTCTCCTCGCTCGCTGGAGAGGAAACGCGGCTAGGGTAATTGCATCTATTCGAGCACGCCGTCAGAAACGGCAGATTGCGGACTTGGCCAACTTCGGACCACGATGACGCGAGACTCGTTTGCTGTTTATCTCTCTCATCCTCTCTGTCTCTCTCTTCCACCTTCGCCGAAGACCACGCTGGCGTGTAATCAGGGTTAGCTGCGATTCTTATGCTAATTCGATACGAAATCAAGAATGCCTCGTTGAACATACGAGGAGTCAGTGATTATGAGAGAACTTATCAAGGGATCATTGAGAAATGTTTCCTTAATATTCATTAACATCAGAAAAATTGACTTAGCAAAAGTAAATTAGAAAAATTTAATTTACAAAAACTTAATTTATTTTCCTATAAAGAATTGATAAATATATCTACATTATATATAGTTTATAATTTTGAAAGCGTATTTGGAGGATTAAAATCACTTTTCAGTAAAATGAGTTAGGTTTTTCGGACAGTCTCGAAATAGTTAAAATTTTCTATCGCGAGTTAAAGTCAGTCTGTTATAGTTAAGAGTTAACCGATAGATAAACGATGGGAATCGCGCGATCGTTCAACCGTTCTTCGATTCACGAAACGACAGTCTTTCTCCATATATTCCGGGGGAGTCTTCTCTTTGCGTCTAGTTCGTGGAAGACATTCCGATTTCCATAAACGACGTCCGGCGGAGACGTTTAAACGATGACAGGCCAAACGCGGGTAATCCACCGTCAAAGCGCACGCAAGCACACGATCCAATAAACGATCGACAGTAGAGCGTCCCTTTGACGTGTGTTCATACATGGCTAAGCGAGTCCTCCTTTTGGGGGACCGTCGCTGGCTGACGGAAGGACCGACTTATCGTCGAACAAGTAAGAACATACAGGTCAGTGTACACACAGTGTACACACGCACACACAGAATATCTGTCACTATGGACACACACTCTCGTCGGGCAATATGATCGTAACTTATGAGCATCCCGTGTGAATCGGCGTGTGTTCACCATCATGGAAGATGTACGTACAAGTTCACACGTGTAGGCCACGTGCACGAACACACGCGCCTGTTCCTCCTTACCGCCTCTCGCAAACGTAGACTTCGCGTAGGAGAAGGAGGGAGGGAAGAGTCCCGCGGAGGGAAAATCCTTTGGCCAGCGAAGCTTGGATAATCGCGCTCTGAGCTATAGACGTGCCTCTCCCCGTCGCGGTAAGAGAGAGAGAAGAGAAAGAAAAGAGAGAAAGAGAAAGAGAGAGAGAGAGAGAGAGAGAGAGGGAGAGAGAAAGCTCGCTTTGCTGCAATCGCAGCGCGCCCATCCACGTGGAAATCATAGCTCGCTGCGGGAGCCATCGGGACTCGAAATTGTCCGGAAACGCTTGCCGGGCTGTTCTCGGCGGAGTTCTCTTTTCTCCCTCCACAACGTGGCAAGGGGGGCAAGTGGTAGAGGGGTAAGACGGCCGCTAGCCGACTGCCTCTTCGGGGATTTGAGCGTAAAGAGACCTCCCGGAAGATTGTCTGAGGATCTCCTTGTAATTCGATGGCGACGTTCGAGAAGACGCGCCGCGTCGATCGGACGCAGATCGAAATCGAATGTATTTGAAGAAAGTATTACAATCACTGAGGAACGAATTTAAAATTGGATAACTATCGCGGAAAAATAATCATCGATATTATTCAAAACGCACATATAATTAGGATAAATAATTAGACGTATAATTAGGCTTTTCAAAAAGGTTCAATAGAATATAATCTATTTACGCTTTAAGTTTCGTGTAATCGTTCAAATCACGAGGTTACATAAATATATTGCTGATAAAATTTATGGTTCGAAATCGAAAGATATCCGAAGTACAAGTAAAGTGTCTTCAAAATGTTCTGATAAACATGATGAGGATATATGTACGTGTGTATATTTATGTATGTAAGTTCTCGCTCTCTCTCGAGTGTGGCTGGCCGATCAAGAAATATCAAATGCGGCGTAATAAATATCCTCGTCGCTTTTGCGTTTGTCGTATTTCGTTTGAAATTTCTCACGGTATGTCTACCGGAGAATCCGAGAATGATCCCCTTAGGGGTCAGGAACCGGGTGCGGAAGTGCCATATCGCGAAATCTGCCAGCAAGCAGTAGCTGTAGCAGCAAGCAGCAGCAGCAGCAGTAGAAGCAGAAGCAGCCGAGCTCGAGGTTTGAGGTTCGCAGACTCTCGTCGTACGGGGACGGTATTGGATGTCATCACGAGAGAGATTACGTGCGGCTTTGAAAGAGCCCCCTATCTCACTTCCACTTCCATTCACCCTTCTTCCTCCGCCCTTCATCCACCAGCATCGAGACCCGCGCGTCGCTATTTCAGCTCCTACCTCGCTATTCGCGCGATGCGCGACGCACCTTCAGCGTTCGCCCCTTCCGATCCTCTCAGCAACTTAGTCGGGATAGGAAGAACCCCCCCGTGGTACTGAAGGGAGCCAGCTCTCATATCCCATTTGCCCCTATTTTTCATAAGCGATATTAGAATCTATCATCGGGGCCCGAGCAGACGCTTGCCTCCGCTCTAGAATCGACAGCTATAAAGGTGGTAGGTATCGATAAAAAAGATAGATAGATAGATCGAGAAAGAGAGAGAGAGAGAAAGGAGAGAAAGGGTGGTGAGGGGGGCGGGGGAGAGAGAGATTCCTCGATTATCGGCGAGGTGGGGTACCGCGATCGCTGACGATTATCGATCCTATTGAAGCGGCGACGTGAATGGATCCAGACTTGTGCCGATCGCAAACCCTGCTATGCTCTCAACAGCGGCGAACGGCTGAGAGTCGAGCTACCCTATATATTATCGCGGTTACCGCGATATTTCATTCATCGCGACCTCTCGATCTTCACCCTTCTCCCTTGCCTAGTCGATTTTCAATTGGGCATGCGCTCCTCGCGCGATCTCAATAACGTTTCCATCCCGTTTCTCTTTTCCGCCCCTACTGCGTTAGCAAAGTGCCGCGTAAAAATTTCTTAGACGCGCACATACATTTTATTCGAAATCGAAGGCTCTTAATCTCAATGATATTCGGAATTTTACATTAAACTTTGATAAGAATGTGAGGGACATAAATAAGGATGGAAATGAATAGAAAATTTAAAGACTGCGAAGATAGAAGAATGAAGAATGAACTAACCAATGAAGAATGAATTGATTGTTGAATAAATTATTATTGCCATTAGAGTTCTGTGATATTTATATAAGCATATATATGTCAGTATGATAAAAATGATACCATTTAATTGAATCGGCATTAGCAGATTAATAAATTGTGAAACTTATCCAATAATTGATTAAAAATTAATCTTTCTGAGAACGATGTTTATTTTCTATCAATTATTTGCCCTACAAACGCACACACACGCATGCGCACACATGTGACAACTGCAAAAGTATTTTATTATAAATTATTAGCTATGTACCAAATTAAACAGACTTTTTGTTCTCCATACAGAAATATAATTGTACATGCAGTTTCAAACATTACTTGTAAGATCACTATGGATTTGAAAACAAGATTTACCGTCATTAATCATTTCATAAATGTAAGAAACTTTTATAGAATCGTTAAAAATACTGAATGTGTGTGTGTGTGTGTGTGTGTGTGTGCGTGTGTGTGAAATAACGAAATTAATCTTTTGAGGCTTTAAACGCAATAAGAATCGTTTTTTCAATATACTTTTTTTATTCTGTTCCCAATAATGTGTTTCTTTATACATTGCGTAAGTTCTTCTATGCGACTATCGATCCGCATACCATGAATTCGTAAAATGCCGTCACGATTCGTGCAGGCAGCACATATCCCGAAATTTATGTTATTTATCTTCCCCCGTATTTACCGCAGCTCGCGATTTACCGTGATTACTAATTATAGCTTCAACTCGGCTCATTAATTACCTCGCCGGCGGAATGGCGACATTATTGACTCATTAAATAGGATAGTTTCGGACATATTTTTGACACATTTGCACACAGCGAAATTGCAACGATTTTTTTCAGAATCATGTACGATGTTAAAAAAAGAAGCGAGAGTAAAAATGTACTTACCTCTATGCCTGTTAGTTTGCTTGTCGAACATCAGCATAGCATCTTCGATCTGAAACAAAAAAAGACTTGGTCAGAGAAAGATTGAAAGATTTAAATAAAATTTACAATTTAATCTTATTAAATTTGCTGAATTAGATTGGATAGTTTGATTTGAGCGGTGTTATGTTTTAAATTATTCTATTAATTTTATTTAATTTATATATGATGTTTATTAGCATTCATAAATCTATATATTTTTATTAAAATTTTTTATATTAATCAGTTTATTGTAAAAAGCGTATAATTAAAATTCAAACTTTGTTTAATAGTTTCACGATAAGATTAAATCAGAATTATATTGGTAGATAAGGAGTATAGTAAATGTTCAGCTTTATATAGTAAAGCATCTTATTTACTAAAGCCGCTGTCATAAATTAAGCAGCTTACTGACGATCGAAGTAACCTATATTCGATATAAGACCTCATAGTGAACCCTTGGCGTGTTAGGGGTGCAAAGCACCCCTGTCAAAGCCTCAGGAATCGTAAACGCCGTTATGGAAATGTCGTGTGATACATATATAAAAGATATTTCGCGGAAACTTTATCTCCTGTGACGAATTGAAGAGAATATTGTATGTATACGGAATATCAAATACTTTTGACAAATCATTTCGTGTTAACGACAAATATCTAATATATCCGCAGATAGAGGAAGTAAATCTAAATACTTAGCAGTAGTAGTAGTAATAGTAGTAGTAGTAGTTAATTAGTGAATAATAGTAAATACTTAGCACTAATATTTTTTTCTAGTATAATCATTTAGCAATTATTGTTTATCTTTCACTGTAAATTTAATAGAAGTTTTAAAATAAAATTTCTTAAAAATAATTCTAATCATCTGATAAACTTATAATGATATAATTAATTTACGCGATGTGGTTACACTATGTGCAAATAAATTATTAACTATATGTAAAATTCATATTATGTGACTATAGTATAATTATTATATGAGTTAATCGCACAATATTGTCATAAATTATTACCAATACCAGCTAATAACCTAGTGCAAAAAATTGTTGATTTCTTAACTAAATTTAAATCTTTATTAAAAGTAGAAATTAACAAAGATTTAGAGATACAATATGAATTAAATAAGGTTGGCCTCCCTAATCTCCCTTGGAACTACTTATATTAAATAATAACAGTCCTCTTCTAAAAAAGAGATGTAAAGTTTATTGTTATCGCTTTTTCGCGATGCCGATTGGTTCTCTTGCTGCGCTTACTTCATTTGCAGCTGTCATTGTATATTTTGACAGTTGTGTGTATCAAAGAGTTAATAATGTAATAGTAATAGCATAATGTTAAAGCTAAATAGCGCGCGCGAAGCGCGCGTCTGTAGTGTCTAGTGTTATAAAAGATAATCGAAGAGATGAAATTTGCTCATCAAAGGATAGTGTCGGTGAGATTGATTTTTAAACGGTTCCAACGACGTCGGTCAAATGACGAATAAGATCTTTCGTATATCTTTACGAGAACCGTGTCATAAAGCACAGCTGGTCAGAGATTTACGAAGCATGTTGCTAAGAAGGGATGGCAACGGAAGGGGGGGGGGGCGGACGGTTCTGTACATGGTTGAAGCGCGAGCAGAGCTCTGGAGAGGCATAGGAAGCGCTAGTAGGATTTATGGGACAGGAGAAACAATAGGGATTACCCTTAGCCCCTTCGTTGTTCTACGAGTTCATTCCTTCTCACTCTCTCACGTAGCAACAACTATCGATAGTCTGCAGCATTAGAACGGCGAGCGATATTCTTCTCTCGACATTTGAGTAACCGTATGAACTCTAGTGTGTACTCAATAGACGCGTTTTCCAGATATGCCTTTGCGTTTTATAGACACATCTTGTGCGTGTTTTACGTATAGAATATTTACATTAAGAATCCGAATTAATTAAATTTGGTAATAAAAAACCTTTCCCTCCTAAAACGAAAAGAGGCACTGTATAAAGATCTGTATCGAAGTTTATTACTGTATAATTTTTTAAAAATATTTAATACATAGAAAGATATAAAATAAATTAAGCGAAAAAATTGAGTCACAAACGAAAGTGACGACTAGTTTAGACGTTTTGACTGACCTCCATGAATATTAATAAAAATACAAGTATAATTTTGATTAACATTTAGCACCGGTTAGTAGTTAGTTAGATGCCAAATGTTAAGAACGTAGTAATAACGCTTGTCACGTTCCTGCTCCGTCCTCTTGTCCTTGCTGTGTAATAAAATTTTAATGAAATTCGCGCGACGATCGCGCCACTGTGGCGAGAAAGTCGCGGAAAAATGCCAAGAGAATCCAGTGTCTTAGCTGACATTTGTTGCGACTTTTGTTTTTCGAGGGATGCCACGCCTTTTACGAGGGGGCTGACGGTGGCGGGAACAAGAACGAGGGGACGGGCGGGCTTTTAATGAAAACGCAAGAGGCGTCATGGCGTAAGATAAGACCGCTACCGGAGGAGCCATCCGTCGTTACCTACACCTCTCCACCCTTTCCTCTCTCGCAAAGCGGGGATGTCGTTTCATTATTTCTTAATGCTGCAGTCTTTGTTGTGGCCGTTATATTGATGTATTCTCGACGGTCGAATCAGTTTGAATCTTTCGTTCGATGTTGCGAATTCTCGCATCGCCGTCAGCGACAATGGCTTCGATCAAGAACGAGATTTCTCCATTCCGATCACTACGTGAGAAAAATACGTGAGGTTTCCTTCTCTCTCTCTCGATTTCGTTAGCATTTCACTCAAACGGAGGCACCTCTGAATCTTTACATTTGCTTGCTTCTTTCAATGGTTTTTTAATTTGTGAGTATTTTACTCCTGTTCAACAACGTGTTTTTATCTTAATCCTTGAGCTACAATGGGTGAAGTCAGTCTTCTTCCAAAAGAAACGATACTTATTGTTAGTTACTTCTTTCGTCGAAATGTATTCACTAATGACTCTCTCTCTCTTTTTTTTTTAGCGCGCAGGCCCTCGCAAACTGGCAATCATGAATTTCCCTCATTATCTCGAATAATTATCGCGGGTCGCAATGCAGTTTTGTGGGTTTCACGTGTATCGTTGCATTACGAGTATCTATTTCCTGCGATATGTAATATTCAGCGCGCGGCACATTATGCATCCACGTATTTACTTCATTAAAAATACATTGCCCGGATGTGTTTAATATTGATTCTATATAAATTAATATAATTATCGTACGGTGTATTACCAGTAACGTCGAGCACGAGAGATAAGCGAATATTATACAAAACGCTTGTTATTTTATTGTCGTTTACGCGCGAGCTGATTTTATATATGATAAATTCTCATTTTTTTCTCTAATAATTTTTATATATTACATTTTCCTTAATAAACAAAACTTTTCTCAATATTTCTACAAATACAGTAAATATTTACTCTAGAGCAGAGACAAAAATTTAATATATATTAAATATAATGGCATCAATCAAAAGTATTGTTTGAACATTTTCAGTTGCAATCAGTTTTAAGCGTTATTTTATCAATAGTATACCTCAAAAAGAATTATAATTTTCATCTGTGTAATTTTATACATCTATGTAACTCGACGTAACTTTATATTTATTTCATATATTTTTTATTGTAAATAATAAAAAAAAACCACAGGAGAAAATTATAACAAATAATTCACCTGAAAAGTTGTGCAGTTACAAATATATCTCAACGGTTTATTTGGCAGTCGGTTTATTTGGCTGCAATAACTTTTCGAAACATGGCGCACTCGCGTAGATAAGACGTAAAAAATGAACGTACTTTTCCTGAGTACCAATCTACTTTTGACAAATGGAATCGGTATTCTCTACCAAAGAAAGAATAATTCCACCGAGAATGGAAGAAGGGTAGAGAATCTTGGTTTGCACGCAGATTGAAATTCCGAAGACACGCCGATGTAACCTTAAGGAAATGGCGATAACGGGAAAATGTAACGCGAAGTGGCCTTGTAACTTCCTAAACTTCTTCCCTTTACGCGACCCCGGAAAATACGTAGTACAGAAAGGTTATCGAGGAGGAAGAGGAGAAGGAGGGAAGAGCAGAAAGAGAAGAAGGAGGCGAAGGGAAGACAAGAGTCGGCGTCGTCGTCCCCGGAGAGCAATCGAGTTCTGGTGAGTGGGCGAGACGTACCTTATTACAAGTTCGATTCCACTGGTGTTACAGCTCTCGGTGGACCGAGCTGTAGATTGCTGTCTTACTGCCCTCGCCCTTTATATCGCGAGACCTTTCTTTCTCTCCGAGATAAAGGCGTGTCATTTCCCTCGTCATCTTTCCATCGGATTCATACTGACGCTCGCTTTAGTCTTTCCGTTTCTTTCTGATTTCTGACCAATTAATTTAAAGAGGGCAAAAATGGGGCCAGTAGAACACGTTTGCGAGTCGCTTCTTCCTCTGCGGCTGATACTTGCTGACGAGGTCTTCAGACTTATTTTTAAAAATATTAATATTTTATTCTTCAATATTGCATATATTCGGAAGAAGCATATATTTATCGCGTGCATAAATTATTATTGCCTGCTATAATCCGCTTCATTGGTGCTCCATTGTAAAATAACAGCCGTGGATGCGCCTGGATCGAATTTCCGACGCGCAATTATGTATAATAAAGATAGCTAAAATAACGTACTGAAAATGCTCATTTTTCCACGCTAATGATTATTGTTAATAAGCATTGTGTGTCAAAAAGGAAATGCAGCTGACTCTTTTGCGCGATATATATTATATATAAACATCATATGAATAAAATTTCGTTGCGTGAATATAAAGAATAAATTGTTGAAATATTGAGATGATAAATTGACGTATCATTTTTGCGCATAAATAGTTTCTTATTCTCTCAGGAAAATATTTTCAAGTTTTCATTTTTCTCCAAAATATAAAAAGCTTTAAGAAGAAAAGGAAGAAATACTCGCTGCTGTTATCAATAACGTCGCTCGGCAAACTTTACAGTCTCTATATATTTGCAATTCATCTGTTGATTTTGTCCAGCGTTCATTGGATTTCGCT